GCGCACCTCTCAGCCTCTTTATTAGCGTTTTCCTTTCTTGTCTTCCTTCCGTCTACATGTTCCTTTCATTACGCCGCCTCACTGAGCCGAACGTGTTTGTACGTACTGTAGTTATTAGTGTTGGTAGTGGTGGTGATGGGGGAGCAGTGGGGAGGTCTCATTTAATTCGCCAGCAACCAGTTCAGGCTCACATTAATGAAGCTTAATAAAAGACTATTCAATTAGCTAAAGAGCTCTATGTGCTGTGCAGGAAAAAAAAAAAAAAAAAAAGAAAGAAAAGAGTGACGATTGTCTTCGATGGAGCCACAAACTCCAATTAGGCTCACTGTCAACTTCTCACATAAACAATGCCAAGTTGGCTGAGGGAAAAGAGAGGGAAGCATTGAAGAGATGACAACAGTCTGGGGCAAATAATGACTACAGTAAGTATATGTGACTGTCTTGCTTGTAGATTCAAAGTGGTGCAGCTTAACTTAAATGCACCACCATTATGGCAATAGTTTGTCAGAATCTGATACTACCTCAGCTGGATGACAAACAACACGTCCAGAAGAACTGAAGGGAGACGGCGAAGAGCAGTCGAAACAGCAAGCAGACTTTGTAGCAGCTGACTGTCAAACTTGTCTGCGGCTTAAGTTATAGGCGCAAGTAAACGTTCTTCAAAAAAAAAAAAAAAAAAAAAAGCCTGCATGTTTGCTGAAACAACAAGCAACACAAAACCCTCGGTGTAGCATCTCGTCGCACTGAACTGGACCCAGTAATTGTCTGGAAATCAATAGTGGCGCATTGTGAGTCGTGAGCGGCCATCGTCTAACCTTGCACCGTGCAGCTGTCTCCCCCAATCAAAGCCGGCCCGGTTTCCACAGCAACCTCAATCCCACATCTCCCACATTAATAAAAAGGGAAAAAGAAAAGCCATGGCACTTGGAAGTGTGGGGCTAAAATGGAACTAGCAGAGAAAGAGGAGGTGGAAGGGGGGGCGGGAGGGGGGAGAGCTTCAGCTGCGCCTTGTGTTCAGAGATGAGGCTCAATCAGATTTAACAAACTCAGCTTTCTTAAAAAAATATATATATAATAAAACAACCCCCTCCCCAACGCCACCGTTGAGATAGCGTTTATTTCATTTCAGTGACAAACCCCATTCATAGCATCTCATAAAGCCTATTCTTCCACTTTTTTTCCCCCCTCCCATCTATTGTGCTCTCTTATTCAATATATTTGCAAAATATCCCTGATACTTCTGTAATTCAAGGTATTTAATTAAAGGGGATGGGTTTCTAATAAAAGCCAAATGGCAGATAGCAGTGCTTGAGCTTTTCAGGGGCTTGTTTAATCAGAGAATTGCTGAATGGGAGAGAAGGCAATAACAGAATGAATAGGAGCTGGTATTTGCAAAAAAAAAAAAAATGTCAGGGAGAGAGGAAGGCTATCAGAGTCAACGGCTGAAACCTTTAATATGACGCTCCGCTTTAATATACGTAAAATGTGTGTGCGCGTGGATTTGAGGGGAGATTGAGCAACCCGGGGAGGAAGGCTACATTTGGATGTCGGCACGGGCATCAAAGTACACCGAAGTTTTGAAAAGTTGTACGCTTTTTTTTTTTTTTCTGGCAGAGTAATTCAGCACTACCACCCACACAACACTTTCTCCTTTCTTACAAAAGAAGAGACAGAGAGAGAGAGAGAGATATTCATTCTGAGTCGGGATCTGCTCCCTGTTTCTATGTTTTTTTTTTAATGTCTAGAAGAACCTTAACGGCCTGATGCAAAGTGCAATGTCACTGACACTAAGTGAAAACTTAAAATGAAACCGAAATATTGAGACATTTATTTTGAAGCATATCTCTAATCTAAAATATTAACCCCAATGACCACAGGTCTATAAAAATATGAATTTAAAACCCACCGTTTTAATAGTAATAATTTGATAGAATAGAAAATTCTGAAGAGTACAAAAAAAAAGAAAAAAAAAAGATTTGTCTTGAAATTGAAAGTTGATCTGTAGGATTGGCGCCTCTCATTTGGTGAGGTTTGATAATATTTTTTGATCTCTCTCTTTTTCTATTCATTCCTACGGGATTTACAGGTGTGATTTCAATCTAATTTTGTTTCCATAGCAACTCAAAATACCACAAGAAATAAGGAACCGGTATCATTTCAAATTCCACATAACTGTGGTAATTTGTCAGAATATTTCCGCAGGTTTGGAAACAATTCTTCTTTCAGTCTTTCAGACTGAGACGACACGTCGTACATTTTTGTTTTGAACTGTTATGCAAAACACAGTGAAACCGCGGTACGATTACTTTACCGTTATCTGACCGTTGACGATTTTACACCGCTCCCAGATTCAGAGGGAAGGAATCCCAGTGTGCATCATCCGTCAGATCTTTCATTTTGCTCCATTTCTATAATCGAGCATTTATGGATCAGGCCGAGGCAATGTGGATGTCATGATCGATGCAGCGGTGGCAAGTGGGAGTCAAACTGCAATCGATGGATCACTCGTCACAGCGATCATTAACAAACACACCTCGGTAAATTGCCATCGACAGCCACTTGTGTGAACGTGCGTTCATATCAGGGAACAAGCATGTTGGCGTGCTACAAGCCCGTCGATGTTCTGTGTGTAAGTGTGCGTTTGTGTGGATGATAACAAGCCTCCATCGTTCCAAGGGTGCTCGACCGTGTCCGTGTGGAAGTGGAAATGCACCTCGACTTGAGTTGTGTTGTTCCTCACACGCACGCACTCCGAAGTAGGGAGGAGTTGAGTGTGCAAGTACGGAGCACTGCTGCAGGTTGTAGCTCCGTTTGCTGACCTTTAGGGTTATCTGGAAGATTCCTCCGCACCTTTCTGCTGGCACAACTGCTGTCACCATGGAAACACAGCTAGCAGGGACAGTATGTGCTGCGTCCAGTGCATTGCCCATCTACAAATATTCATGCTCATGTATTTTCTACATAGTCAATAAAATCACAGTTTGGTGTCTTTCAGAGGAACAAATTATTGTTATTGTTTCTTGCTTAATGCAGAAGTAAACAGATTTTTTTTTTTTTTTTTGAGGGGAAATTGCTAGATTTTATTAAGTTTCATGATTTTAAAGAGTGACTAGTGGAGGTCTGACTTGAGATTTGGTTTGATTATTTTCAATTCATTAAATATAGTCAGATATAGCCAATGTATTCGTAATCTTTTCAACAAAGCATTTGAAAGGGACTGCACTGATGCGAGAATAACATGTACGTACATCTAATTTGAGTTGTTTTGACACACAGACAATCCAGTGTAGAAGAGCTTGTCCCTGAACGGACCCTAAAAGTCCAGCTGTTGGGATATCCTCTCTCCTCAGCGGGAATCCCGCCAGCATGTCTGCTGCCGCGCAGAATCCAGGACTGCCTGAATGATACTGCAGGCAGCAGGACTTGGAACCTTAGCTAATTTTTCTTCAGTACCAGTGAACTGGTTTCTTGTTAGTAATTAAGCTAAGTCTTGTAAATGCTGACAAATCTTTAGTCTGATTCTTTCTTCCTCCGGTCGTCACTGTAGATTTTTAAATAAGAAACCTTAGCTTTCCTTAAATAGCAGACTTTAATGATAGCTGGGACTCCACCTGGTTTTGTTTTGGTGTTGCATTTTAGACTTGGATAACAAATTGTAGCTCCAACATACCGTGTTTGGAGGAAGAATCGGTTCCAACGCCATGCAAAAAGTGAAAGTTGCAGGTCGGATCATCAGCATATTACTGAAAGAAGGGTGAACGAAGACTTTCTTTAAATGGGTCTGAAGAAGAAACGAGTGTGAATTTCCCAAACACACAGATGGGGAAACTCTTCATTGGATCAGTCAGTATCCCGACTTTGAAAACGATGGAGAACTGAAAATCAATGTGCATCGAAAGGAATCAGAGAAAATTTTACTGAAAAAAGGCTTGTACAAAGCATTCAACACGTCTGTAAGCATGTTCAGTACTTATTCCCCATGCCATTCCAAATTCTTAGTAATTGTTTAACTTGTGGACAAATTTGCTTTCATATCCTTGTATATATGCGTATATTGGGTCTGATGCTAATGTCCTATCAGTATATTAGGCTAGAAATGAGATGAGAAGATTTTTTCTTCGGATTTGCTCAAGAACAGTTAATTCAAAGTGACTGTATCTCCACCACCAATCAGCTGCATCCAAACCCTAAAACCATGCCACTACTGGACTCTCTACCACCGTCGACATGTTCTCCATTGTCACAAATCGTCACTCTTGGTCTGGTGGTCTGACGGATGTGGCGGCTGTTTTTCGTGTATTTTCCATTCGTTAAGAAAAACAGCAGCAGAGAATGTGTTGCAGTTAAAGAGAAAGGTGGAGACTCACACTGGCACACAAACACATTAATTCACTCTTCACCTGTCCCCCACTTCATTAATCCCTCATTTCCTTCACTCTTCTCTCCGTTCTTCTCACTTAATGAAACCACAAGTACGGCACAAAATCAGGCCTCTAGGCCCCCACAGCTGTCAGTGGGGTACACATGACCCCATTTTCACTTGTGGAAGAATTATTAGTCTGCTGTGGCAGGAAACAGTCATCCGCCACCTCACGTCTCGCTCACGGGCACACACACACACACACACGCTCGCTCGCACACACCCACACACACACAAACAGCAGACACAAAGAAACACAACTCATCACCGACGGATTATGAGAATTTATTTTAGAACGAGCTCTGGCACAACTTGGCATTAAATCAACACATGTTAGATTCAGAAAAAGAAAACAAAGACAAAAAAAAACAAAAAAAAAAAAAACCAAGGGAATGTGAGAAATGGTGGTTAATACATATTGGTGGCCAAACAGATGTGTGGACAGATAAGTAAAGTTGATTTAGAAGAAGAAGAAATGGACGGATTTGATATGATGTTTGTTTCTTCGTTGCTTCACTGCACCCCTTGTTCCAGCTATCCTTGCATTTCTCAGCCATGATTTGTCACAGCGCTCTGGAAAAAACAAAAAACAAACAAAAAAAAAACAGGAGGAGAGGGAAGAGGAAGAGGGAGGGTGAACAAGAGGAGAAACTGTCAAAGTATGAATTTGCATTACTGGAAGCAAAGGGGAAACTAACAGGAACCAGGAGGCACCAGGAAAAAATCCGGTCTCTCACACATAAACACAGAAGCTCAGGCTCCACGCGGCACAGTGCAAAAAAAAAAAAAAAAAAAAAAAGAAAGCGCTGTATTAAATTTCTAACTGTTAGAACTTTCTTCCACAGCAGGAGGTTATCCTTTCCACCCTGGAGACATGGATCATTAGACAGGAGCTTCTTTAAAGAGAAAGAAACTAACAGTAAGTAAAGGGGATAAAAAAAACATAAAAAAGAAATAATTTTTACAACCTTTAATACAACCTTTTCATTTCATAGCTTTAGTATTGTGTAAATTAATATCAAATTAAGAATGTATTTAGTTTAACACATTTTTGATTAACAAAACGAGGAAAAAAAAAAATAATAATATGGCTATCTAGAGAAGTTGCATTTTTTTTTTAAGTAACCCAAAATGCCAGCTTTTAAAAGCCGTTTTATTGATCAATTTAAAAAATAGGTTTAGGTTAAAACATCAGGCTATTGAGGCTTTCCTTAAACTAAACAGAAAGAAGGATGGAAAGTTGCGTCCCACAGACTGTATGTAATCTGGTGAACAGATGATATTGAGTCTGTGAGGTGTGTCCATTTGTGTCTCTGGCCTGCAGCTAAAGCAACTGGTTTTAAACAACCTTTAGAAAAACAGGCGGCTTTAAGAAGATATAGAAAAACATACTTAAGTTCTAATTCAGTGATTCACAAGCTGCAGGGAATGTCTGAAGAGGTTTTATTGGTACAACAGCTTTCCACTTCATAAATTTTGGCCTGACCTGTTATTTCTGGGGGTGAACAGCTGCACAGCTCCAGCAGCGTTAACACAATCGAAGGAAGGAAAAATGTAGCCTTTGGAGAAAGTTCACTTTCATGACAGTGACTCTCCACTGTCTCGCTGACAGAGATGGAAAACAGACAAAAGATTTCATCAAAAATGTTTGATTGTTGTTTATCGAGATTATGATAAAGGGGATAAAAAAAAAATTACCTTTACTGGTAAGCTACAAATTTATAGCAACATAAAGGTTAGTGCCTCAAAAGACAAACATTTCTCTGAAACTCAAGCAATTCTCAAATGGGCTGCTCCAATACACCGTTTACACTAATTATTTATTCTAATAGAGATTTTAAAACCTGTTGGGAACATTAAACTACACATCTGGATCCACTAGCCTTTCGTGAGGTTCTAGTCGCACCACTAGGAATCAGTTACTGAGGATTCAAGTGTTTTGTGTTTTTAATGATTGTAATTTTAGGGCAAAAAATGTACATCTACTTACAGTGGGAGTGTAATAATATATTTAGCCCATGAGATAAAGAGACCCAAGAAATGTTTATGAGACAAAACAGGAAGAGAGAGTTTTGGGAAAACTAAGAATTAATTTTTTTTTGTTTTGTTTGTTTTTATGATTAGAACAAAGGGTAACAAACTAAACTGTAAAGAAATCTGTAATTCAGTCCAACTTGGACTTGTCAATATCAATTTTCATGCTTTTCTAAGGTCTTTCCAACCCCCCCCCCCCCAAAAAAAAGGATTTTAAGAAAAGCTCAAACACAGACACAGCAGCATGTAAAGCTAATAGTATTCAACCTTATTTTCAGGCTTGATTGTAAAGCTAGCACTAAAGTTAAACAGCAACCATAGTGCTTTGCAAGAAAAAAATGACTTATAATCTTACTAACTTGGAGTAGTAATATCAGTTTGTTGCCTAGAGTGAGCGTAGTGCAGTTCCTGTACCGTCGAATGATTAATTGTAAATATTAATATTGACTTAGAAGTCTATAGCCTACATAGAGAGTAAATGATGATCTGCCTACTAGAGAAATCTGACAGAAAAAGTCATAACACTTAAGATAATATTGAAATTAGCCTGATTGTTGGTAATCCAGCAAATCATAGTCTTTGTAATCATTTAGGTTGGACAGGTAATAAAAGAATCTGGGATTTTGATCAGCTTTTGGAAAGCACTTGGAGTAACTTGATAAAATCAAGTTACTGGACAAAACAGAGGTTATGAATCATCATTCGAGGTATATTATAAAATATATTTTAAAAAATATATTTATTTATTTAAAAATAAGTAAATAAAAAACAAATAAATAAAACACTTGTTGAGTTTCTTTTCTTTTTAATGGGGTTACTGGAATTATTTATATACTTCAAAAGAAAAATTGAGAGAATTCTTAAGCTATAATAAGTCTATTATATTAAAATAAAAGTGAGAGCAAAGGCCTAAAGAAACCCGTTGTAAAATATAATTCCCTGTGCTTAGAAGACATCTTGGTTGTGCTAATATTGGATTCATACTTTTAATACCAGATGGTGTAGCTCATTCCAACAAAGTAATCCATGGACACACAGAATAATGTTGATGGTGTAGAGCTAAAATAATTAACAATTGCCCAATTAAGTGTATATGAGGGACTCGCATGCTTTAATAATTACTTGAGACTTTAATTTTGGAACAAAACTCCGAACAGACTAAATGAAGAGATTAAGTTAAGCAGCGTTGTGGTTACTTCCCTGTGACATACCGGCTTTTTCTTTTTTTTTTTTTTTTTTTTTAAAAGACAAAAGAATATTAAGTGTTTGCATGTAGATGAAGAGTAACACTTACAGACTGGCTTTTTACTATGCAACACAGTGCAACTAAACTCCCCCATGTGTCAATACATGAACAAACACCCAGTCGGAGGAAGAGACACAGGGCAACATGGGGTTAGTGAAGCATTAGCTTGTGGCTGCTGGGTGGGCTAGTTGGCATGCTAACTGCCTCTGAGCCCGGCTGGCAGGCAGATACGCTGGCGGGTAGGTTAGCTGTTCACTTGCCAAGTGCATCCGAGGGCATCGCAGGCTGTGCCTTTGAATTGGAGATGAGTGGCAAATGTGACAAGGAGCTTTAGCTTTACTGCCCCGCTCACGTCCCGAGACGTAAAGGAGGATGGCATTAATGTGCATGTGTGCATAAACATCCACACTTTGTGTGAAGGTGGCTGCTAATGTGCGCAAGAGTTTATGCACAGAAAGCACAGTGTTTGTTTGTTTGTTTTTTTTTATTCTTGCGTGTGTTTGGGTGGAGGTGGGGTGGTGTGGCAGGTGTGTGAGTGTTGCAGCACTTTCACATATTATGCCTAATGCATAGTGTATGAAGTAGCACCTGAATTTCAAATTGACCCCTGGCACCCCCCACAGTGCAGACAACTCAATTTGGTGCCCCCAGGTCCAAATTTGGACTGTTGCCATCCAAACTTGGATAATATAAGGACAGGGAAAGCTTTTTTTTTTGCGCACAACACCTTAAGTGCTGGGGGCAGACAAACATTTCACCTCAAGGTCTGAGCTGAATCTCAGCTGCTGCTTAGGTACACTAAGTTACTGCATTAGCATTTTAATAAAAATGCACTGAAGGAATATCTTAGACTATATAAATCTTGAACACATCTCATTGTTGTCCAAATCAGAATGTTACTTCTTGGGTCCTTATTAAGTGCCAATACATACTCCGCAAGACAAGAACAGGGAACTTTGTTCTCTTTCCCAGGGGGAGCTCTGATTTGGGAGTTTTTGCAGCTCATTGTTAATGCATATTCTGGGCAGAACGTTTTTCTTGTTCTGTGTCCCGAAAAATATAAAGTAAATGTGCTGCAGTGGGAGAGAGACATATGCAGAGGAGTTCTGCACTTGAGTTCCTATGAGGTATGAAATGTCCTGGCAAGAAAAAAAACAACTTTGTTCTTGCAGTCCTGACAGAGGGAAGACAATGCAGAGGATATACAGGCCCAAAGCAGGGGTTCGTCACAAACATCAAGGCATTCAAAAAGTTTTAAAAAGTGACTATTTCAAAACTGATGAAAGTTTCTGTCATACCAATCGTACAGCTTGAAGTACTTTTAATGAGAGGCCAGAGAACATGCTGTAGTGACTACATGGAGCAGAGAAATGCGTCACTGTCCTCACCACAACGCGCTGCACTAAAATAAAAATAAATTAAACTGTTTGGAACCATTAAAAACATTAGATGTGAGTGCCGCCCTTCACTCTTATTTAGGTAACATGGACTCGAAAATACAGTTTTCAAGCTAAAAGCGGCAAACCGTATTAGACAGATGACACCAAGCTACAATTAGATTAGTCTGAATGATCAAATAGGTCTTTTATAAACGCAGCATTTTAAAAAAACTAACCCCCACTGAATAAGGGGAAATCTCTTGTCTAATCCCTCTGTGTTTTCTCTCATAACCTAAGAGGTTTGATGCTTTACATTGATGCTTGCAGTGAATGTCAGACACTATTGACCAGTTATTTTCTGTCCTGATCTGATTGTCGCTCACAGAAAGAACCACAGCCTGTGATGTACGCTGTTATAACACTCATCAATAAGAATGATGGTGTCAAAATTGAAGCGTTTTAGTTGATGAAGGAGAGGAACTAGTTTTCTCTGCACATGAATAACTGGAGTCTTTGAAAAAAAAAAAAAAAATGTCATAAGTCAAATAATCAATATGTGACATCCCCGCTCCAACACTCAAAAATTCACAGCTGAAACGAGATGCAGGGTTACTGAACATTTATTCAAGCCATTTATGCTGACTAAAACATTTCTTTGAAGAGAAATCAGAACTCATAATGCATAAACGATAAAGCTAAGAAGGAATGAAAGTCAGAAAGTAGCAGTATCTTGAACTTTCTTCCATGTCATTAAATAAAAGTAGAAATGTATGTCTGTTACTCACATTTTCCCCCAAATACAACGAATAGGCATTTGATGACAACTCTTGAGTTTATCATGTGTTTATGTCTTATTTTTGCTGAAGTGGGTAGTTATTGAAACTGAACGTACGTTTCTCTGATTTAGCAAGAAGTGTGTAGGTGTTTGAGTAGAAGGAATATATTAGTTTTGTTTTATAAAAATAACATTATCCGAAATTAAAACATATTTCCATTTATAGCACTCAGAACATGAAAAACGGTGTAAACAACAAATGTAGTAATATATGGTGTTTTCAAATGTCAATTAACGAGAAGAAAACATGTTTTTACTGGGGAAGAATTCGGAAAACAGTCTTTGTTGGAAAGTCCCTGATTTGTAATCACAACTTTCACGCTGCCTGGCATTTCCTCCACCTTTCATTCACATTGCAGTGGGGTTCAACTCATCACTAAATCGTTAGGTTAATTGTCTGTCCTTGTGTTTGAATTCAGCAGATA